GGCTGACTGGCAGCCATTTGGTTTTTTTAAAATGTAGTATCTTATTCATGCTTTGTCAGTTTTTGTTCAAATTTGGTAAGTACATTATATATGTTAGTATACATGTCTATGATGATACGTTTCACAATCGGATCAAAGATGGCCAACTTGCAGCCATCTTGTTTTTTGGAAATGTTGTATCATGGACATCATTTGCTATTGGTACATTGTATATTTTAGATTACATGTCCATGACAATTTGTTTTATAATCAGATCAAAGATGGCCGACTTGTGGCCATCTTGCTTTTTGACCATACTACTATATCTCCAAGACTTAGGAATCATTTTCACTCATATTTGGAACATGCGTCATACATTTTGGAATACATGTTCATGTCAGTTTGTTCCATGATCAGATCAAAGATGGCTGACTGGCATACATCTTGTTTTTTGGGAAAGGTGGTATCTTGGACAGGATTTGTCAGTTTTCTTTCAAATTTAATACAAGCATTATATATGTTGAGATACATGTCCATGATTATTTGTTTTGTGTTTAAATCAAAAATGACCAACTGGAAGCCATCTTGTTTTTTTTCAAAACGTATCGATATGTTTTTTTCTCTTCAAATTATACTTGTAAGGATACATATCCATGACAATTACATGCAGTTTCACAATCAGTTTCCCAGATGGTTGACTGCCTGAAATCTTGCTTTTTGACCATACTACTATATTCTTGTACATGAGCCAAAAGAAATTCAGTTTGGATACGAAAAATGCTTGATTAAGCATGTCCTGTTTAAGTCATTTAATACATCTAATTTCTGGTAATACTACCCCAGCCAATTATTCACTCTCAATTACTAACTATGCTGTTGGTCTATATTACTTTATTTTTGGTCTGAATAACATTTCCCCTAAATCCAACGAGCACTATATAATTAATAATGACTTGTTAGTTCCCGTTCGGACGTAGTCCGAAAACGGAGACTTTAATATGGTTTGCCCTGTGTGCGTCTGTGCGTGCGTCCGTGATCACTTGTACCTC